GGTCGAGGCTGTGGTGGCCGGGAGCAGCCACCGCACTCCAGTCTGGGCAACAGAGTGAGACTCCAACTCAAAATAATAATAATAATAATAATAATAATAATAAATGAATAAATAATAATTTTTTTTAAAACTGGCTGGACACAGTGGCTCATGTCCATAATCCCAGTAGTTTGGGAGGCTAAGCCAGGAGGATTGCTTGAGCCTAGGGGTTCAAGACCAGTCTGGGCAACATAGCAAGACCTCCTCTCTACGAAAAATAAAAAATTAAAAAATTAGCCGGGCGTGGTGGCACACACCTGTAGTCCCAGATATTCAGGAGGTTGAGGTTGGGTGGAAGGATCACCTGAGCCCAGGAGATTGAGGATAAGGTGAGCTGTGCTCTATGCCACTGCACTCTAGCCTGGGCGACAGAGTGAGACCCTTATTCAAAAATTAAATTAAATTAAATCAAAAGCTGCAGCCCGCCCATCCTAGGCGCCCCCGTCCCTCTTCCCAATTCCCTTTCTCTGTGGCCCCCACCCCTTCTGGCACACTGTCTTTTGCTTAATTGTTCTCCATCTGTCTCTCCCACCAGAATGCAGAAATCCATGAGCGACAATTGGAATTTCTTCTTTTTTTTTTTTTTTGAGCTGGAGTCTCACTCTGTCACCCAGGCTGGAGTGCAGTGGCACGATCACAGCCACCACAGCCTTGACCTCCTGGACTCAGGTGCTCTTTCCACCTCAGCCTCCCGAGTAGCTGGGACCACAGTAGGTGTGTGCCACTACGCCCAGCTAATTTTTTTATTTATCATAGAGATGAGGCCTTGCCACATTGCCCCGTCTGGTCTGGAACTCCTGGGCTCAAGCAATCCTCCCATCTCGGCCTCCCAGAGTGCTGGGATGACAGGTGTGAGCCACTGTGCCTGGCCGAGTGTTGAGAATTCTACAGTCACAGGGACATGGATGATTATGTGGGCATCGGTGGGGGCAACCCTCAGGAATTACCCTTCACTCTGGCTTCCATTCACCTACTTCCCTCATCCTCGAACCCCCCTCCTTCATCAGCTTAGCCCCACCTACTTGGCCCTGCACCAGCTCTCTTTTTACCTTCCTCCCCACACCCACCTCACAAACCCTCACCCCAGCAGGAGGCACACAGCTGGAGCTCAATAAATATTTGTCCCACACTCCCCAGCCCCTTTGCCAGTGTCTCTCCCTCCCCCCCTCAAGGTCACTAAGCACCTGCACTGGTTACAGCAAGGACCCACTGAACTCTTACTGGCCAGACTCCTCCCCTCTTCCACCCATTTACTCCTCACCGCCCTCCACCACCACCTCCCACATCCAGTGTGAGCCACCAGCCCGCCCTGGCTGAATCTCTTTTATTTTTTAGTTTTATTTTTATTTTTTTGAGTTGGAGTCTCACTCTGTCGCCCAGACTGGAGTGCAGTGGCCGCTCCTGGCCACCGCAGCCTGGACCCGCTGGGCTCCGGCAATCCTTCGAGTAGCCGGAATTACAGGCGTGTGCTACCATGCCTGGCTGATTTTTTGATTTATTGTAGAGATGAGGTCTCGCTGCCCAGGCGGGTCTCGAACCCGCGGGCTCAGGCAATCCACTCACCTCAGCCTCCCAAAGGCGCGGGATTACAGGCTGAGCCACCGAGCCCGGCTCTTTTATTTTTTTTGAGTCAGAGTCTCACTCTGTCATCCAGGCTGGAGTGCAGCGGCCGCTCCCAGCCACCGCACCCTCGACCTGCTGGGCTCAGGCGATCCTTCCGCCTCAGCCTTCCAAGTTGCTGGAACTACAGGCATGCGCCACCACGCCCGGCTACTTTTTTTGTGATTTATTGTAGGGACAAGGTCTCACCAAGTTGCCCAGGCTGGTCTCAAATCCCAGGGCTCAGGTAGTCCTCTAGCCTCAGCCTCCCAAAGTTCTGGGACTGTAGGCGTGAGCCACCGCGCTCGGCCTTAATGTTTTGATTTATTGTAGAGACAAGGTCTTGCCAAGTTGCCCAGACTGGTCTCGAACCTGTGGGCTCAGGCAATCCTCTTACCTTGACCTCCCAAAGTGCTGGGACTACAGGCATGAGCCACTGCACCCAGCCTGGCTGGATCTCTTAATTCTCTCCGCCTCATTCATTCATTAGACAAGCATGTATTGAGCACCCATGTGCCGGGTGCTGTGAGAAATGGCAGACACTTTAGGAAACAAGACAGAGAGAATGCTGCCGTCATGGAAATGATTTCTGGCCGTGAAGCAGGAGATAGGGTGGAGCATGGAAGGTCAATCTCAACAAAGAAGCCACGGGAACAGGAAAGAAGCCATGAAATGGAAACATTCATCAAACTTTAAGGACAGGACATAAGCAGTATTTCCTCCTGAAACGGAAACGTCCATCAACCTCCCAGGACGTAACGTAAGTGAAAGGCCTAGATGGAGTCAACGTAGCCAAAGAGCAACCATTTTAACATTGCTTAGCTTGGTCTTGTTTGTCTAGCAGTTCACTTTAATTTTAAACCCTCCGATCACCAGCCAAGAACAGAACCAGTTTCTCAGAGGGAGTTTTGATCATTGTTTTACAACCCCTCCACCCCCATCTGCAGCTTGTTTTGTACTAATTAGCATTTCTTTGCTTTTTTACTTTTTTTTAACTGGAGGCTCACTCTGTCCCCCAGGCTGGAGTGCAGTGGCACCCTCATGGCCACAGCAGCCTCCACCTGCTGGGTTCAGGTGATCCTTCCTCCTCAGCTTCCCAAGTAGCTGGAACTACAGGCACGTGTCACCACACCCGGCTAATTTTTTTATTTATTGTAGGGATGAGGACTCGCTCGTGTGCCCAGACTGGTCTTGAACCCGTGGGCTCATGCAATCCTCTCACCTCGGCCTCCCAAAGTGCTGGGATTATAGGTGTGAGCCACTGCACCAGGCTAGTTAGCTTTTCTATTTCAAGTATTTGCCTCCACCCGTAAGACCTAGGTTAACCTAATCAGCCCTTCGTGACCTTCATGACAGA